AAGGATTTCATAAAATTTAAAATGCCCCAAAAATCCTTGAAATCCTTAAAAAATCAAATCCCGGGATTTAATATTTTAAGGATTTCAAGGCTTTTTTGGGCATTTTAAATTTTATGAAACCCTTGAAGAATTAAATCCCGGGATTTGATTTTTCAAGGATTTCAAGGATTTCATAAATTTTAAAATCCGCGTGGTCTTCCCGTACTCTGAGTGGGGAGGGGGGCGTTTGCTTTTGCAGGAGCTCCGGTATTTAAAGTTTATGAAATCCTTGAAATCCTTGAAAAACTAAATCCCGGGATTTAATTTTTCAAGGATTTCATGAAATTTAAAATGCCCAAAAAATCATTGAAATCCTTAAAGAACTAAATCCCGGGGTTCGGTTTAGGGTTTAGGGTTTAGGGTTTAGGGTTTAGGGTTTAGGGTTTAGGGTTTAGGGTTTAGGGTTTAGGGTTTAGGGTTTAGGGTAATATCCTTGAAACCCTTAACAAAAATCAAATACCGGATTTGATGGTGTAAGGAGTTCATAAAAAGTTAAGATGCCGAAAAAGAATTAAAACCCTTTAAAATCAAACCCCGGGATTTGTCTTTTCCAGGATTTCAGACATACCCGCTCATTGCCCATCCCACATCACCCCGCATCATCTCCCATCGTTTCTCTCATCCCCCATCATGCCCCATCATCCCCCAATCATCCCCCATCATCTCCCATCATCATTCCCCGTCATCTCTCATAATCCCTTTCACCCCCCCATCATCCACCATCATCCCCCATCAGGCCCCCATCATCGTCCCCGATCAGCCCCTATCATGCCCCATCATGTCTCTCATCCCGCGTCATCCCCCATCATTCCCCATCATCCCCCATCATCTCCCATCATCCCGCATCATCCCCCATCATCCCCCATCATCATTCCCCATCATCTCCCATAATCCCTTTCACCCCCCATCTTGAGGGGTTAGTGACTGCCCTAGAGGTTAGTCGTATGTCCCCCCGCTTCGTGTTGTTGTGATTTGGTAGGGGCCCAGAGGTTTGTATGAGTTGTTTTCTTCGTTCGTGTTGTAAGGGTTTTGTGAGGGCCCCGGAGGTTTGTCGCATGTCCGATTTCTTCGTGCTTGTAGGGTTTGGGGATTGTCTAGATAATTGTCAAAAATCATTCCTTCCGCGCTCGTACTATGAGGGGCTAGTGGCTGCCCTAGAGGTTTGTTGTATATTCCCCCGCTTCGTGTTCCTGAGATTTGGTAGGGGCCAGAGGCTTGTCATATGTCCCCTCCCTTCGTCCCTTCGTGTTGTGAGGGTTGCATTCGGCCTTGGAGGTTTGTCGTATGTCCCCTTTCTTGGCGTCTAGATGATTGTCATCATAAGTCATTTGCTTCCGTGGTCGTATTATGAGGGCTATTGACCGCCCTAGAGGTTTGTCGTATGCCCCCCTGCTTCGTGTTCCTGTGAGTTGGGAGGGGCCTAGAGGTTTATCTTTTGTCCCCTCCCTTCGTCCCTTCGTATTGTAAGGGTTTCGTGAGCGCTCTGGAGGTTTTTCATATGTCCCCTTTGTTCGTGCTTGTAGGGTTGAGGGAGTGTCTAGATGATTATCATATATCATTTGCTTCCGCAGTCGCTATGAGGGTATTGATTGCCCTAAAGATTTCTCGTGTGCCCCCCCCGCTTCGTATTCCTGTGATTTGGTAGGGGTCTAGAGGTTTGTCGTAATTCCTCTCCCTTCGTTCCTTCGTGGGATGTTTGCGTGTGTCCCCTTTCTTCGTGCTTGTAGGGTTTGGGGAGCCTAGACGACTGATATATATATATATAATTCGATTCCGCGCTCGTATTGTGAGGGGCTAGTGATCGCCCTAGAGGTTTGTCGTATGTCCCCCCCATTTCCTGTTCCTGAGATTTGGTAGGGGCCTAGAGCTTTGTCGTATGTCCCCTCCTTTCGCCCCTTCGTGTTGTAGGGGTTTTGTTGGGCCTTGAAGGCTTGTCGTGTGTCCCCTTTCTTCGTGCTTGGAGAGTTTGAGGAGCGTCGAGATGACTACCATACATCATTTGCTTCCGTGCTCGTACTATGTGGGGTTAGTGACTGCCCTAGAGGTTTGTCGTATGTCCCCTTCCTTCGTCCCTTCGCGTTGTATGGGTGGTAAGGGTTTTGTGAGGGCCCTGGAGGCTAGTCGTATATCCACTTTCTTCGAGCTTGTAGGGTTTGGGGGGGAGCGTCTAGAGTCTAGATGATCGTCATATATGATTTGCTTCCGTGCTCAAACTATGAGGGGCTAGTGACTGTCATAGAGGTTTGTCATTTGTCCCCCCCGTTTCCTTGGTCCTGTGATTTGGTAGGGGCTTAGAGGTTTGTCATACGTTCCCTCGCTTCGTCCTTTCGTGTTGCAAGGGTTTTGTGAGAGCCCGGCAAATTTGCCGTATGTCCCTTTTCTTCTTGCTTGTAGGGTTTGGGGAGCGTCTAGACGACTGACATATGTAATTTGATTCCGGGCTCGTATTGTGCGGGGCTAGTGACTGCCCTAGAGGTTTGTCGTATGCCCTCCTCTTGTTCCTGTGATGTAGTAGGGGCCTACAGGTTTGTCGTGTGTCCCCTTTCTTGGCATCTAGATGATTGTCATAAGACATTTGCTTCTGTGGTCGTATTGTGAGGGCTATTGACTGCCCTAGAGGTTTGTCGTATGCCCCCCTGCTTCGTGTTCCTGTGAGTTGGAAGGGCCTAGAGGTTTATCTTTTGTCCCCTCCCTTCGTCCCTTCGTGTTGTAAGGGTTTCGTGAGCGCTCTGGAGGTTTTTCGTATGTCCCCTTTGTTCGTGCTTGCAGGGTTTGGGGAGTGTCTAGATGATTATCATATATCATTTGCTTCCGCAGTCGCTATGAGGGTATTGATTGCCCTAAAGATTTCTCGTGTGCCCCCCCGCTTCGTATTCCTATGATTTGGTAGGGGTCTAGAGGTTTGTCGTAATTCCTCTCCCTTCGTTCCTTCGTGGGATGTTTGCGTGTGTCCCCTTTCTTCGTGCTTGTAGGGTTTGGGGAGCCTAGACGACTGATATATATATATATATAATTCGATTCCGCGCTCGTATTGTGAGGGGCTAGTGATCGCCCTAGAGGTTTGTCGTATGTCCCCCCGATTCCTGTTCCTGAGCTTTGGTAGGGGCCTAGAGCTTTGTCGTATGTCCCCTCCTTTCGCCCCTTCGTGTTGTAGGGTTTGTTGGGCCTTGAAGGTTTGTCGTGTGTCCCCTTTCTTCGAGCTTGGAGAATTGAGGAGTGTCGAGATGATTACCATACATCATTTGCTTCCGTGCTCGTACTATGTGGGGTTAGTGACTGCCCTAGAGGTTTGTCGTATGTCCCCTTCCTTCGTCCCTTCGCGTTGTATGGGTGGTAAGGGTTTTGTGAGGGCCCTGGAGGCTAGTCGTATATCCACTTTCTTCGAGCTTGTAGGGTTTGGGGGGAGCGTCTAGAGTCTAGATGATCGTCATATATGATTTGCTTCCGTGCTCAAACTATGAGGGGCTAGTGGCTGTCCTAGAGGTTTGTCATTTGTCCCCCCCGTTTCCTTGGTCCTGTGATTTGGTAGGGGCTTAGAGGTTTGTCATACGTTCCCTCGCTTCGTCCTTTCGTGTTGCAAGGGTTTTGTGAGAGCCCTGCAAATTTGCCGTGTGTCCCCTTTCTTCTCACTTGTAGGGTTTGGGGAGCGTCTAGACGACTGACATATAATTTGATTCCGTGCTCGTATTGTGAGGGGCTAGTGATTGCCCTAGAGGTTTGTCGTATGTCCCCCCGATTCCTGTTCCTGAGATTTGGTAGGGGCTTAGAGCTTTGTCGTATGTCCCCTCCTTTCGCCCTTCGTGTTGTAGGGGTTTTGTTGGGCCTTGAAGGTTTGTCGTGTGTCCCCTTTCTTCGTGCTTGGAGAGTTTGAGGAGCGTCGAGATGATTACCATACATCATTTGCTTCCGTGCTCGTACTATGTGGGGTTACTGACTGCCCTAGAGGTTTGTCGTATGTCCCCTTCCTTCGTCCCTTCGCGTTGTATGGGTGGTAAGGGTTTTGTGAGGGCCCTGGAGGCTAGTCGTATATCCACTTTCTTCGAGAGAGTCTTGGTGATCGTCATATATGATTTGCTTCCGTGCTCAAACTATGAGGGGCTAGTGGCTGTCCTAGAGGTTTGTCATTTGTCCCCCCCGTTTCCTTGGTCCTGTGATTTGGTAGGGGCTTAGAGGTTTGTCATACGTTCCCTCGCTTCGTCCTTTCGTGTTGCAAGGGTTTAAGGGACCAAGGGAGGGGACACACGACAAACCTTTAGCCCCCTACCAAATCACAGGAACACGAAGCGGGGGGACATACGACAAACCTCTAGGGCAGGCACTAGCCCTCATAATACGAGCACGGAAACACATCATATATGATAATCATCTTGATGCTCCCCCAAAACCTATAAGAACGAGAAAGGGGAAGCACACAAACCTCCAAAGCCCTTACAAAACCCTTACAACACGAAGGGACGAAGGGAGGGGACATACGACAAACCTCTGGACCCTACCAAGTCACAGGAAACACGAAGCGAGGGTGCTTGCCTAAGTCTGGCTGTTGGCCGGCTGGATCTACATTTACTGCTACTACTACTACTACTACTACTACTACTACTACTACTACTACTACTACTACTACTACTCCTACTCCTACTACTACTACTACTACTACTACTACTACTACTACTACTACTACTACTACTACTACTACTACTAATACTACTACTACTACTACTACTACTAATACTACTACTACTACTACTACTACTACTACTACTACTACTACTACTACTACTACTACTACTACTACTACTACCACTACTACTTTCAAGAAGTTTTGTAAATAGTAAACAAAGGGGCGTGCCAAATAGACCCTAAAGGTCCATGCCACATATATATATATATATATGTATACATATATATATATACATATATATATATATACATATGCCTTCTCTCAATATTTAGGGGCTCATGGTTCAGTATGCTTCCTGAACCCTGAGCCCTTCTTGCGGGAACACCTCCTGGACAATGAAGAACCACTCAGTGTTGGCGATGTCCGGCCCAGCTGTTTTGGACTTAGTGCGCGCACTGCGGTGCACGCTGAGATGCTGGGGAGAGGAGGGGTGGGGGGGGGATGGTTAGGGTGTCGGGTTTAGGGTTTAGTGTCTAGTGTCTAGGGTTTAGGGTTTAGGGTTTAGGGTTTAGGGTTTAGGGTTTAGTGTCTAGTGTCTAGTGTCTAGGGTTTAGGGTTTAGGGTTTAGGGGTTCAGGCCCAGGTGGCTCAGGTGTTCTGCAAGGCTGTTGGGGGGCTCTCAAGCCTGGTGAAGGATTCCTTGAAGCCGTTAGGGTTTAGGGTTTAGGGTTTAGGGTTTAGGGTTTAGGGTTCAGGGTTCAGGGTTCAGGGTTCAGGGTTTAGGGTTCAATGTTGAGTCGTCAGCCGAGAGACTCCAATATCCCTTAAGAAAGAGTCCCCTTCAGAATGTCGCATCCCTGTTGCAACTTCTGCAATCCTCTCATCAAGGGATACGAGGAGTGTCTCGGCACAACGCCACAGCAAACACCAAACCCTAAACCCTAAACCCTAAACCCTAAACCCTAAACCCTAAACCCATTCGGCAAAAGGCGCCGCATCCTTCAGCCAGGCGATCTGATCGGAGTTCAGCTGCTGGACGTCGTCCGTCGGCATGTTGTCGACGTAGAAGTTGTATCCTGAAGGTCCGGGGCGTAGATTCTCTATCGGTTTAGGGTTTAGGGTTTAGGGTTTAGGTTGAGGGTTGAGGGTTGAGGGTTGAGGGTTTAGGGTTTATGGCTTAGGGCTTAGGGCTTAGGGCTTAGGGCTTAGGGTTTGGGTTTGGGGTTTAGGGTTTAGCCTTCTACCGGCCAGACCGTTACACCCACACCTGCATTTCTACCACTCTGACCCCTAAAACTCAAGCCCGAAACTCCCCGAGGCATCCGAACTGGTTCTGGCTTTGGGGGCCATGCATGGCTCTCCGGCACAATCCCCTGAGCTTTCAACCCAAATCTCTTAGCCAAAAACCTTAAAAGGCCAGGGTTTCGAGGTTGCGGCCTCGGATTGCAGGTCAGTTTCACCCTTTGCTCCACTTAAATGCTCCTGAAATTCATGAAGCAGATGAGCAGATAAATGATGCGTATATATTAGTATATATATATATATATATAGATTCCTTATTTATATATACATATATACATACATGTGTGCGTACGCAAATTGTACATGTACACAATTGCTTGCGTATGTACGCCTGCATGCATGCACTTATCTAGGATGCAGGGTAGATCTCAATGTGTCAGAAGGGGGGGGGGGGTCCCATATAGAGGGCTTATATACATAAGGCACGATATCGCTCACAGCTGTGGGTGCTGCATTCACCGTATTCGCAGACCCCATGGCCAGACGTGGAAGGAAATGGAAGCGAGTCCTGTTGAGCTGCAGCCAAGGCAAAGGCACCTGTGCATGAGAAGCTACTTCTACCCACCAGTCGACGAAGTTTGAACACAGCCGTAAAGCCATGAACTGCGATAGCTCCAGAGCTGACCTGGAAGAAGACGTGAAGCAAGTTTCTCGGCTAAGCAGAACACCTGGGAACTGATGGCGAGTCTATCTCCAATTCGTTCCTCAGTTGATGTCGTACGCGACTGCTGTCGCCACCGCTCGCAGCATAGCCCCAGGTCACAACAGACCCATCGTCCAGAACGGCAGCAAAAGCGAAATCGGTAGCCTGGATCTGCTGCACACCTTGGTAGCCCGGTAGCCATATTCGAATAAGGGCCCCCCTTTTGGGGTTGGTTACTTGGTCCAAGGGAACCCATAACCAAAAAAGGGAAAAGGTTGCCACTGGGCTACCAAGACACCTTTCAGCTGATCTTTCACAGTGTCGTGGTCGCCGCCACAGTCAGCATCGCCCCATGTCACAACAGACCCATCGCCCAGAATGGCTGCAAATGCAGCCATGGTAGCTTGGAGCTGCTGTACATCCTTCAGCTGACCCTGCACAGCACTGCTTTCGCCACCGCTGGAAGCATTACCCCAGGTCACAACAGACCCATCGCCCAGCACGGCGGCAAAAGCAAAGTCGGTAGCTTGGATCTGCTGCACATCCTGGAGCTGGCCTTGTACAGCACTGCTGTCGCCGCCATTCTTATCATTGCCCCAGGTCACAACAGACCCGTCGCCCAAAATGGAAGCGAAAGCGAACCTGGTGGCCTGGATGTGTCGTGCGTGCTTCAGCTGAACCTGCACATCACTGCTGTCGCCACCAAGGTCAGCAACACCCCAGGTCACAACGGACCCATCACCCAGAATGGCAGCGAAGGCGTTGCCGGATGCTTGGATTTGCTGCACGTCCTTCAGCTGCTCTTGCACATAACTACTGTCGCCACCCATCTCAGGATCACCCCAGGTCACAACGCACCCATCGCCAAGAATGGCAGCAAAAGCGCTCTCAGTGGCCTGGATTTGGCGTACATTCCGTAGCCGGCCTTGTACATCACTGCTGTCGCCACCAAGACCCCAGGTCACCACAGACCCATCGCCCAGAATGGCGGCAAAAGCAGATCTGGAAGCCCGGATCTGCCGCACGTCCTTCAGCTGACCCTGTACAGCACTGCTGTCGCCGCCGTACTCAGCATTGCCCCAAGTCGTGACGGACCTATCGCCTAGTATGGCGGCAAAAGCCAAGTAGGTAGCTTGGATCTCTTGCACGTTCTTCAGCCGGTGTTGCACAGCACTGCTGTCGCCACCAGAGAGAGGATTGCCCCAGGTCACTACAGATCCATCGCCCAGGATGGCAGCAAAGGCCGTGTTGTTGCCGCGAACCTGAACACCACGAACTCTCAGTGTCAGCGTGTCGCCATCTTGCAACCCAGATGTCTCAAGCGTGGCTGCTCCGTCCAAAACGGCACCGGAGGAGTCCAAGAGCATGCCCCTGCCAACTGCCAGGAGCTTCTGTGCTCTGCCCTGCAATGATTCGACAGACTCGTCCAGTCCCACTTCTAGAGAAACCGTTCTGCCACTCAGCAGACCCACATGAATGGTAACCATGGCGCCACGGGCAACTCCAGAGCGCGGGCTCTGAAACAAACCGTCTTCTGCTTAAAAGCTCAGATTTTAACCCCTAAGCCCCTTGTCCCGAAACCCTTTTAACCGAACCCTAAACCCTAAACCCTAAACCCTAAACCCTAACCCTAAACCCTAAACCCTAAACCCTAAGCATCCTTTGGCTTGAGAGTTTCCGGAGGTCTGATGGAGTCCCAGACAGGGACCATGGTACTACTGGCTGGTTCTTAGTAGGGAATGAGGGAAAGACCCTAAACCCTAAACCCTAAACCCTAAACCCTAAACCCTAAACCCTAAACCCGCCCTAAAAACACCCTTTATGGGAGTATGTTAGGGCCCTCATTCCCTCATTCCCTACTAAGAACCGGCCGGACTCATCTGCATCACAAAAAACCCAAAGCACGCAGGGAGAACATCTTCACACCAACCCTACTGTCCTGTACCCTGAAAGGGTAGAGGTCGGCCCTAACTTGCGCCAGTCGACATCGAAGCCTTCACTTGGAGGGCTGAGTGATTCACCCCTCATCCCATAGAGACCTGACGGCCCTGAAAGTCTCCCCAGGCCCTTCATCCCGCATCTCAGCTCTCTGAGACACTTCTACAAAGCCAAAATCCGTTGCCCTAAGCCCTAAGCCGTAAACCCTAAACCCTAAACCCTAAACCCTAACCCTCTCTGCTATCAAGGCTCTCAGAAGGACCTCCGCTCGACGACGGGACTTGTAGGCCTGCTCGACGCGATTGGCGAACACCTGCATCCCCCCCTTCTCCCCCGTCTCCCCCAGAATTCTTTCGAAGGTTCAGAGGTAGTGTTAAGGGTTTAGGGTTTAGGGTTTAGGGTTAAGTCTGGGCTACAAACAACCCGACAGATGGAGTTCCAAACATTACAACTTGCAACCCCGCTCAGGCTAGGGTGAAGCCGCAATCCGATGCCTGGCGGGGGGGGGGGGGGGGGGGGGCATCCCACAGGGCCTGAGGCAAAAAAGCGTAAAAAAAAAAGGCTTTTGGGCAGCAACAACCGACAACAAAAGATTGTGCACCGCCTGCGGAGACCGCGAGCCTGCTTCAAATGGTAATAAGGGGTATAGGGTTTAGGGTTTAGGGTTTCGGGGGGTTTAGGGTTTCGGGTTTAGGGTTTAGGGTTTAGGGTTTGGGGCTTGCACACAGGGCTTCAGGGGTTCTCCAACAAGGCTACACGTGGCCCCCAAGCTCACTTGTGGTGCAGGTTCAAGTTCAAGGTTCCGGTCTTGTTCGGCGCCAGCGTCTTCGAGTCAACACCTCAACGCCCTGAATGTGGAGCCCAACGGAAACCCTAAACCCTAAACCCTACACCCTAAACCCTAAACCCTAAACCCTAAACCGAAAGCAGCCTCTGGGTCCTCCCCCCGGAACATGACGCGCAGTCCTGGGTCTGGGGGAGTTGCGGCTTGGGGGGTACTGCAAGCTGCGCCTGCCAACTAACCGGGAACAAGCGAAACCACCCCAAGTCTTGAGGGTTTTTTGGAATTCATATGGTGATTTCTCGAGATCAGGATCCCTTTTCGGGCCCTCATTATAAGGCGGCCCCTCTTATTTGGGGGGGGGGGGGGGGGGGGGTTTTGAGGACTCACCATAGAGGGCCTACAGGGATGAGGCTTCACTCTCTGCGGCCCTCCATATCCGCCGTGCTTCTTGGGAGGTGGTCGACCATGCCACGACGTCCTCCGTTTCCAACAGGCTCGGGGTCCTCGCTTGCCAGCTTCTGCAATGGTTCGAACCAAACAGAGTTAGGGTTTAGGGTTTAGGGTTTAGGGGGCCCGGGTTGCACCAGCAAGTCCTTGGTGGGGGGCCGGGTTGCACGAGCAGCGCTCCTTGGGGGGGGGGGCCAGGTTGCACCAGCAAAAGGTCTTGGGTTTAGGGTCTTTACCTTTGAGACTCAAAGGCTCGACCGCCTTGACGGCCAGTGTGGGCCTTACCTTGCCTTGGAGCGTCCAGCAGCCCCAGCTTTACCTGGGCTGCACGTTCAGTGCTCTCAAGTCGCTCGCGAAGCTCGGACAGCTTCGGGCTCTCAAGTGTTGGTAGCGAGCCCTCAGCAAAGACTTTAGGGTTTAGGGTTTAGGGTTTAAGGTTTAGGGTTTAGGGTTTAGGGTTTAGGGTTTAGGGTCTAAGGGCTTCGGTCTTCGGGTTTAGGGTTTAGGGCCCAAAGTCTCCCACAATTGCAGGCCCCTAGAGACACCAAGCCCTATAGCCTCAAAGCTCCTGAGCGCAGCCCTCGAGTTGAGAAATCCTCCCAAGCAGGTCGCCACAACGTCACCCTCGGCCCCTGAACCCAGAGGGGAACGACGAAGTACCCCAAGGGGGCCACCTAGCCTCGAAAACACTTAAGCCATCTAAACCCTAAACCCTAAACCCTGAACCCTAAACCCTAAACCCTAAACCCTAAACCCTGTCCTCATATTGGATCTCAAACTTCTTGGCATGACTGTGGTAGTGCAAGACTAAAGCCTCGGGGCGATCTGAGGTCTTCGGGGAGTTGTGATGTGTTTTTGGGGTTCCGGGGTGAGGGTTAGGGTTTAGGGTTTAGGGTTTAGGGTTTAGGGTTTAGGGTTTAGGGTTTGGGGTTTGGGGTTTGGGGTTTGGGGTTTGGGGTTTGGGGTTTACGGTTTAGGGTTCAGGGTTTAGGGTTTAGGGTTTAGGGTTTAGGGTTTAGGGTTTAGGGTTTAGGGTTTAGGGTTTAGGGACAAAGGGTTTAGAGTTTAGGGTTTAGGATTTAGATCTTTGTGATCCTCCTGGCAGACCAGCCACAGCGCAGGGTATCTTCTTTTGGAGCCACATCGAGCGGATTGGTGTTCGGGGTAGTTTGGGGGTAGGGTCTTCGGGCTATGATTTGCTTGGGCTTTTGCCCGCATGGCCGGTTTGAGGGCTTCAGCCCAGTTTAGGATTCATTGCCCGCTCTCTGTCTTTCTCTCTCTCTCTCCCTCTCTCCCCGTCTCCCTCTCTCCCTCTCTCCCTCTCCCTCTCCCTCTCCCTCGCTCCTCCCTCCCTCCTTCTCCCTCCCTCCCTCCCTCCCTCCCTCCCTCCCTCTCTCTCTCTCTCTCTCTCTCTCTCTCCCTCTCTCTCTCTCTCTCTCTCTCTCTCTCACTCATTGCAAAAAGGACCCCTTGCCGCCACCCTGGTGCTAAACCAACTGTTGACATTCTCTCTAAGAAGCCTACACCCTAACCCCCAAACAACCCCGAAACCCCTAAACCCCCAAACCTAAACCCCGAAACCCATAAACCCCTAAACAGCCCTCGACCCCTAAACCCTGAAACCCTACATAACCCCAAAGCCTTATTTCCACAGAACCCTTTTGAACCCTAAACCCAAAACCCCTAAGTAACCCTAAACCCGAAACTCCTAAATAACCCTAAGCCTTAAATCCACAGAACCCTTTTTGAAGCATGGACTGAGGTCGGCGCCAGCTCACTGACAGATGGACACTGAACCCTGAACCCCTGAACCCCTAAACCCCAAACCCCAAACCCCTAAGTGGCCCTAAGCCTTAAACCCACAGAACCCTGGACCCTAGACCCTAAACCCTAAACCCTAGACCCTAAACCCTAAACCCTAAACCCTAAACCCTAAACCCTAAACCCTAAACCCTAAACCCTAAACCCTAACCCTAAACCCTAAACCCTAAACCCTAAACCCTAAACCCTAAACCCTAAACCCTAAACCCATGCCAGGGCAAGTCGGAGGAGCACGGCGCCAGTATCCCACGCCGCTGTCCTTGGCTTTGCAGCACAGAGGTCAAACGGGGGGTTAGGGTTAAGGGTTAAGGGTTAAGGGTTTAGGGTTTAGGGTTTAGGGTTTAGGGTTTAGGGTTGAGGGTTAAGGGTTTAGGGTTTAGGGTCTAGGGTTTAGGGTTTAGGGCTTATAACAAGTTTAGGGCTTAGGGCTTATCATCGGGATTAGGGTTGAGGGTTTAGAGTTTAGAGTCTAAACGGGTTGATTTGGGGTCGGCTGGGCTTTGTGCGGTACCCCTTTCTTTCCATCCTCAGCATCCAACAATCTTGGCACAAAGCTTTGGCCCCTCGCAGGCAGACGCCTCGAAGACTCCATTGAAGCAAAGGGTTGCAAAGGAAGAAGTTAAGGGTTTAGGCTTTGAGGGATGTGCTTAAACCCTAAATCCTAAACCGCAAACCCTAAACCCCAAACCCCAAACCCCAAACCCTAAACCCTAAGCTCTGAGCCCGGAAGCTTCTGGGAGTCCGTCCGAGCAGCGGGGTCTCTCCAGAGAGCCAGGGCAGGCAGGGGCTTGAACTGGCCGCTCCCATCGCGGCCTTCGTCGGGGTTTAGGGCTTAAGGTTTAGGACTTTCTTGCTTCGGGTTTAGGTTTTAGGGTTTCTTTGTGCCACCCGCCTAGCTGACACTCAGGCCGGGACCCAGGTTTTAGGGTTTAGGGTTTAGGGTTTAGGGTTTAGGGTTTAGGGTTTAGGGTTTAGGGTTTAGGGTTTAGGGTTTAGGGTTTAGGGTTTAGGGTTAGGGTTTAGCTGCTCTGCCACCTCCTCTGTGGGGGAGGGGGAACCTTGACACACCACAGGGCTATTCCCTATATACCCTCTCCACAGTGAGGCCACGACACCCTTCGAAAAGACGGGTTTAACTAGGGTTTGGGGTTTGGGGTTTGGGGTTTGGGGTTTAGGGAGACCTTCACCGAAAGAAAGGGATAAAGCAGTCCAACTAAACCCACAACACCCGCTTCCCCATAAACAAATCGGTAGAGTGGCAAAACGCCATCCACTCGTCGGGCGTCCGCAAGTCATACTCCGTGTCGTCGAAGGCCTACTTGGCGGGCTCATGGTAACTGATTAGTTATAAGTGCACTTAGCTAAGTTTACTTGTAAACCCATACTTTTTTGTGTACCCATGAAACTCCAATTCGACATCTCCCAGCTCATAAGGTAAAAAGCCAAACAGCACACTTCCACCAAACTCTACTACTCTTCCCGGAAACCCTCCAGCACACATTTTGTTTGTGGTCCCTGCCTAAAAGCTAGCCGGCCAGAATCGGATGCAGTTTGGCATTTTCCAAGAAGGTCCTTGTAAGCCCTGAAATCTATTCTTTGCTTGAGTTAAGAACCCCCCCCAAAACACAAAAGATAGTAAAATCCCTATATTGCCCTTACAAGGAAGAATCTGTTTCTTGATGTTTCTTGGGGGGGGGCTCTTAAACGAACAGTAGTATATAATCACTCCCTGCGACCCTAAACTCCCTAAACCCTCCCTAAGCCCTCATACGTCCTCTGATGCTTCAGGTGCTGTCATCTAAGCGGCCGCAGTCCCTGGGCCAAATCAGGGCCCCAAAAAAACAAAGATGCACTTTCTTACTTTCTTGTTTGGGCGGGGGGGGGGGGGGGGGGGGTTCGACTGTAGGGCTTGGGGTTTAGGGTTGAGGGTTTTGGGTTGAGGGTTGAGGGTTGAGGGTTGAGGGTGTAGGGTTTAGGGTTTAGGGTTTGGGGTTTGGGGTTTAGGGTTTAGGTTTAGGGCTTAGGGTTTAGGGTTTAGAAGGTGTTTATCAGGGTGTGAAGTTTAACGTCCCTACGTCCTAGACTCCCAGACATCTTCTGGGCTCGAAGCTTGTAGAGAAGTGTCTGAAGTCTGACAGCGAGCCTCAAGGGGGAGGGGGCTGTTGTCTTCGTACCAGGGCAGTGACACGTCCACATCCCGCTCCATCAGCAGCTTCTGCACATCCTGCCCAGTAGGCGCAAGGCTTCCAAGTAGCAAACCCTACACGCTAACTTGGCAACACCCTCACAGTTACTCGAAGATTCCTGGGGTACAAGTAGGGTTATAGGTACCCTAAGTAAGTTTCTAGTCTTTGCAGCCCAGGCGTTCCTGCTTGCAACCCCTGCTGAAACTACCCCTTAACCTCCAAGTAGGGATTTCATTTGGGCTCTTTGTCTTTTTTTCTTGGCGGGTAGGAGGGTTAGGAGCTGTGGTTGACAGGAATGGTGGGCGAGAACCCCAAACCCCCACGCGCGAAACCAGCCAAGTAGCCAGGGTCGCGTACCTGACGACGGGAGCAGGCGTACTTCGCATCCACGGGCCACGGGTTTGCTATGGGTTCTGACATTTTGAAGCTGCAACTTGGGCTCTAACTGGGCTAAACCCTCAGGTAGGTTACTACCCAAACCCTTTTGCAACGGGCTTCGATACCTCGCCCGGCCAGGCTACCCTAAACCCTGAACCCTAAACCCTAAACCCTGTAACTACCCATGACCCTTCAAGCCTCTCCCACTGACAAGTCCAGGCCGCTTTTTCCGCAGCCGCTCGATGCGCAAGCGGCGCGGGCAGCGCCCGGCAAAGGTCCGGAACGACTCCATGACCTGCCGAATCGTGTGATGTTTGGAGATTCATGGCTACTTATAAGTAGGTTGGGTCCCCTGGAATCTCTAAGTACACCCCAAAACTTTAAACTGTTCAGCCCTTAACCCAAAAACGCTAGGAGGAGCAAGAGCCAATAAGGAAGAGGTTGAGGCTGCTCACTCCTTGCACAAGAATGGTGTTGATGAGCAAAGCTCGAATGACCCTGTTGCAATTCACCCGGTACCGAACCGTCCTGGAAGGCCCTAAACCCTAAACCCTAAACCCTAAACCCTAAACCCTGCAGGAAGCCCAATCGCTGGGCTGGTAGTGTTTCCTGGATGGCTCCTTTGATCATTTGAGCGCGACCCACCAGCCCCTCGCGGCCCTCAACAACACTGAACCTTCGGGTTTAGGGTTTAGGGTTTAGGGTTTAGGGTTTAGGGTTTAGGGTTTAGGGTTTAGGGTTTAGGGCTTAACCTTCCTTCGACCCTGAACCCTTTTGTTGAGTCATCCCCCCCCCAAAACCACCTCAAGCCCCGTAAAACTCCCTTGGTTCAACCCAGCAGAGCCCGCAACCCAAACGCCTGAAACCATACGAGCCCTTGACTTCAAGCCCTTCTCCACCCAGCAAAACCCGAAGCAAAAACGACAAAAAGCGCCCCCAAAAGGCCCCCAAGATGGTGGCCTTTAGACCCTGAACCCTAAACCCTAAACCCTAAGCCCTAAGCCCTAAAAACCCTAACCGTGCAAAACCGAAGCCTCTGACCCTGAAGCCCTCAAACGCCCCAAACGCCCCAAGATGGAGGCCTAGACCCTAAACCCTAAACCCTAACCTCACTAAACCCTAAACCCTAAACCCCAAACCCCAAACCCTAAACCCTAAACCCCAAACCCTAAACCCCAAACCCCAAACCCTAAACCCCAAACCCCAAACCTCAGGGGCCTTGGGCTCCATACTTGGATGCGGTGGCTCCGAGGCCTTCAGAAGCCTCGGCTTCACGGCAGGCCCCGATTCTGTGGGAGGTGTGTTGCACAAAGGGGGGTTTAGTTTGGGGTTTAGGGTTTGGGGTTTAGGGTTTGGGGTTTGGGGTTTAGGGTTTAGGTTTTAGGGTTTAGGGTTTAGGTTTTTTTTGCCACCCGCCTAGGGTTTTGGGTTTAGGGTATGGGGTTTGGGGTTTAGGGAGTGGGGTTCAGGGGTTTGGGGTTTAGGGTTTAGGGTATGGGGTTACTCAGCAAAAACTCTCAGACCTAAATGATTCAGGAACCTCTTTGCACAGAATGGCAGTAGACCGAGGTTGCAGGCAAGCATATGAAACCCTGAACCTGTTTGCATCCATGCCTCTTCGAAAGCCCCTAGACCCCAAAACCCTAAACCCCGAAACCCTAAACCCTTAAACCCCCAACCCCAACCCCAAACCCTAAACCCTAAACCCGAACCAAAACCGTAAACCCTGAACCCCAAACCCCGACACCCCAAAACCCCAAACCTTAAACCCTGAACCCTAAACCCTAAACCCTAAACCCTAAACCCCAAAAGCCTAAACCCTAAACCCTAAACCCCAAACCCTAAACCCTAAACCCCAAAAGCCTAAACCCCAAACCCTAAACCCCAAACCCTAAACCCTAAACCCTAAACCCCAAAAGCCTAAACCCCTAAACCCTAAACCCTAAACCCTAAACCCCAAACCCTAAACCCTAAACCCTAAACCCCAAAAGCCTAAACCCCATACCCAAAACCCGTCCGCCGCGGGGCGCGCCGCCCGGCCGCTTCCGCTGCGCGTAGCTCCCGGCGCTCAGGGGCCGGGGCTCCCTGGGTTTAGGGTTTAGGGTTTAGGGTTTAGGGTTTAGGGTTTAGGGTTTAGGGTTTAGGGGTTTAGGGTTTAGGGTTTAGGGTTTAGGGTTTAGGGTTTAGGGTTTAGGGTTTAGGGTTTAGGGTTTAGGGTTTAGGGTTTAGGGTTTAGGGTTTCGTGTTTAGGGTTCAGGGTTCAGGGTTTAGGGTTTAGGGTGTCGAGTTTGGGGTTTAGGGTCTAGGGTCTCAGGGTTTAGGGCTGCATTGAAGGATGCATATGGGCATGCTTCGAGGGTCCGCAACCCCTGTGAGTCCAAGGCTTTCGGGTGTAAGGGTTTAGGGTTTAGGGTTTCGGGTTTAGGGTTTAGTGTTTTCGTAGGGTTTAGGGCTTAGGGCTTAGGGTTTAGGGTTTAGGGTTTAGGGGTGTCAGGCTTGCAGGGGTTAAGAGAGTTTCGGGCTCTAGGGTTTGGGGACGAGGGCTTTGAGGGCATAAGGTTTCGGCTTTACAAGTTCTCGGGGCTTAAGGCTTCACGTTTAGGGGACTTAGGGACCTAGGGCTTCAGGGTTTAGGATTTAGGTTTTAAGGTTTAGGGTTTAGGGTCTAGGGTTTCGGAGCAGTCAGGGTAGTTACGAGGATTACTTCGAGTCCAAGATTTTGGAGCTTGGGGCTTGAGATTTCAATCAATCAGGCGCTCCCAAATTGCCTAAAGCCTGAGGCCCAAATTTAGGGGTAAGGGCTTGGGGAACCCTACACCCTCAACGCTGCTTCCTTCCTACATTCAAGCAGCCCAACTTGTATAGGCACCCCTCCGTCCTAAACCCTAAAACCCTAAACCCTAAACCCTAAAGCTTCTACCTAGAGAACAGCCCATAAGTCGTGAGGTGGCGCTTCGTGGAGCGGAATTCGCGGGTGCGCGTGGGCCCAGCCAGCTTCTGCGCACGCGTCTGGCCCTGGCAAGGTATTAGTTGGAGGTTGTTAACCAAGTTTAACTGTACTTATAACTTATAACCCACTTATGAGCCCCTTAAGTGCCCGAATATGGTTATAAGTACAGTTATAAGTACAGTTATCATTGGTAAATAAGTACCATGAACCTCCAAGTAGGGCAAAGCGTCAAGGCTCAGGAATTCCTCAACCCTAACCCCAAGTCCCTAAACCCTTTTGAACCCGGAACTGGGGACCGCCCCTACAACGTTCTGGAGTTTGGAGGTTGAGGATCAGGGGGGCTGCGGGTTCAGGGGGTTGGGAGGCTGGAATAGGGTTTAGGGTTTAGCGTGTCATGACAAAGAACTTGAAAGGGACCATGATGTCCGGAAACTGCCCCCTGATTCTCAAGAGCGACCTGCTCTTAGGGTTTAGGGTTTAGGGTTTAGGGTTTAGGGTTTAGGGTTTAGGGTTTAGGGTTTAGGGTTTAGGGTTTAGGGGTTTGGGTTTCGCCATGAAGAACTGTGAGAGCCTACGAAGTAGGGCTATGATTCTCCGAATCCCCACAAAGACACCCCATATTCACCCTCACCCTAAACCCCAAACCCTAAACCCTATGCAGATCAAGAAGGAACCATATGGGGAGTTCCGAAATTAGGGGTGCCTTATTGGTGTTCGTTACATAGGGAATCCTACTATTTGGGGTCGATATTAGGGGCCCCCTATTTTCCTAAACCCTAAACCCTAAACCCCCACTTCAAAAGGCAAACCCCATATCAACACTCACCAGGAACAGGCCCAGACCTCTTCGGGGAGCAGGACTTCTGAGAAGATGGCGCGCTGCCTAGAGCGTGGGTTCAAAGTTCTAACTCTAAGCTTTCGGCTTAGGGTTTAGGGTTTAGGGTTTAGGGTTTAGGGTTCGGGGTTTAGGGTTCAGGGTTTAGGGTTTAGGGTTAGGGGTTTTGGGCGGCTTCGGGTCCTGCTGGATGTCCCCAGATGATGTGGGGGTTTCCGAAATGGGGGTACCTTATTGGGGTCCTTATTGTAAGGGAATCCTACTGCTTGGGAACTACTTTACGGGTCCCCTATGTTCGTTCACCTGGAAGTCAAAAAGTGTCATTCTGTCTTATGGACCCCAACAATTTGCCCCAAGACATCCCTCTCAGATTTCGACTCTTAGGGGGATTAGGGGGTAAAAACTAAGGCTCAGGGCTGAGGGCTTAGGCAAGAATCTTTACCCCGCCCTACCAAGCCTGATAAGCCCGAAAACCCGAAGCCCTTCCCTTGCAGCAGGGCTGCGCACCTTGCTTTCCCCTTCGGGCCTATGGGGTTTAGGGGTTTAGGGCTTCGGGGTAGTTTAGGGTATAGGGCTTAGGGTAGCTTGGGGTTTAGGGCTTAGTTTAGGGTTTAGGGTTTCGGGTTTAGGGTTTCGGGTTTAGGGTTTAGGGTTTAGGGTTCAGGGTTCAGGGTTGAGGGTTTAGGGTTTAGGGCGTCAGAAACCCTGCAAGTCCCTCGCTCAAGCGCTCGCCCCCTGCCTGAGCGCTGCCGAGCCTTCACTTGCTCTCAAAGACGCCGAACTTTGGGTTCAGGGTTTAGGGTTTAGGGTTTAGGGTTTTCGGGGTTTCGGGGTTTCGGGGTTTCGGGGTTTCGGGGTTTCGGGGTTTCGGGGTTTCGGGGTTTCGGGGTTTCGGGTTTCGGGGTTTCGGGGCGTCGTGGAGATTCTCCGAGGCTCCAACTTGTGTCTCTGCTGTCCTTGCTGGACTGGCCTAAACCATCAATCACAGCAGCGACCAAACCAACAAAAGAATGAGGCACGATGGTCATGTGGCTTTTAGACCTCCTTGCACAGATACCGACACACACACACACACACACCTACACCTAGACCTAAAGACTCCCAACGATTTCAGTCTCACATCTCACCAGCCCCAAAAGAAACCCATCCCGAACCCTTGAGCCAACTGACCCCTGGGACCTAATATAGGGGTCGGAATAAATCATATTCATTTCGGGTCCCTTTGTGCTTATGTGAGAATCACTGCCAGCCCCCTCCAAGGAGCGTGGGCGCGGCGCCCCCCGCGGGGTCCGCGGGGCTGAGATTGGCCGCGCCATGGCACCAGAGGCTTTTAGGGTTTGTATGGTTTGCAGGTTTTGTAGGGCCTCTTGGCTCATGGAAGGGTTTAGGGTTGAGGGTTTAGTGTTTAGGGTTTCTGCTTTAGGGTTGAGGGTTTGAGGTTTAGGGTCTAGGGTTCAGGATTCGAGGGCGTTTCGGGGCGCAGCGGTGACTGGGTTGTGGGAATCTT